AAATAGCGAAAATTAATTTCAAGTGAAAATAAGTATTTTACAATACATCAGTACATGTAGTTGTGGACGAAGTTGAACTATTGGTCAAGATTTTTTATATATATATAACATACTCACCTGCACTTAGCTTTCTGATTGTCCATGTAACAAGTCCCTTCATTGGCACACTGTATTGTATTACATCCTTCAACTGAAATGGACATACATCACAATTTAATAAACATTTACAATTGCAGCAAATGATTATTAAAGGTAACTGAAAAACAAATATGATTTTCTGCATATATTTACTTTTACTTCATCCACTCACCTTGCTTGTAGCATCCTTTTCCCTTACATCATTCTTACTCTCCTACCTTAAACATGTTCATGGAGCGCACTTATTATTCATACCTCAATGATTGACACTTGATTAGTGTTTACTCTCATGATATTATACCCACAATGTATCCTCAAATTACTCTCACTCACTTAATAACCCAATGCTAAGCACCCCAATTTTACTGATTGCCTGCCCCCCTTTCAGTACCACATTCTTGCTTTTTGCTGACCCACTGCCTGCCTAGTTATCCCTTTTTATTGGCCGACTCATTGTACACTTTTATTTTCACTGACCGAGTAACTTACTCTTCACTTTTCACTTCTTTCCTTTTCATTGATTTACTCAATTTCTTTCTTTTCACTGACTGACCCAGACATACTCTTCCATCTCACTGACTAGCACACTCTTCCCTTTAATAAATGACTGACTCTCTTTTAATGGCTTGACTCAATCTCCTGACTGACTGTCCATTGCTTTCTCACTAACGTGCTCACCATCCCAATCCAGTCATTCACAATGACAATGCTCACAATGCAGTCATTTAATATAACTTACTTGGGTTGCAGTTTGTGCCACTTTCTTCAAATCCGTCACCACAACTGCATGTTGCCTCACCAGGTTGTGGAAGACAAAGTTGAGAACAATCCTTTCCTTCACACGGATTGGGCGCTAACAAAAAATACACAGGAATTGGTTAATCAAAGATAAATTTTGGTTTCATTCTTTTTCAATCATTACTGAAAGTTACCAAGCATGCTACTTAAACAACCTCTAGATCATCTAAAAAACTTAGATAAGCAGTGCGTGTGCTGGACCAATTTCAGTAATGCTTTTGCACTTTTTTTACTATTCAAACTACGTGTATTGAAAGCAACGTTTTATAAGACTTCCAGTCAAGGAACCTGTGAATTGCATAGAACATTGTAGCCTAGACTATTGCATCTCATTTTTTTATCTGCCTTTATTTCTTCGCTTCTTTGTTTGAGACATTATATCAAGATTTTGTTGTATACTATATGAAACTCCTATCAAACATGACACAGTGCCACAACCATAAGGTTTCACTACTGTAAAATACTTTATTTTAGCTGGAATTAATTTTCACTGAAAAGACATTTTGGGCATTTTGTATGAAATTTATTTTCACTGTTTTTTGACAAGTTGAATGTAAAATATAGGAAAAAAGGTATATTCGCTGGATTTTATTTCCACTGAAACATTCCTTCAGCAAAAATAGCGAAAATTAATTCCAAGCGAAAATAAAGTATTTTACAGTAATCATTATACACATCTTACATCACATTGAAACCACAGATGATGAGACAGTGTTATGACTGTAAAGCTTTACCAAGGTAGATAAGTTTAACTTACTTGAGGAAACAAGACCCCTCAACTCACCTGCCATTTGTTTGTATTCTTGTATAATTACCAGATCTGTAGTGTGTTCAAGACTTGATGAAATTATCTCAATTTCCCCTAAACCAAATTTATTGACTCTAAAAATTTTATTTGTCTGGAAAGTTGTACCATAGATGAAATCTTCAAACAAATCTATTAAATACGGTTGGTCTGATCCTAGGAAATTGAAAAAAAAAAAACTAATTTATTAACACATACAAAATAGAAATAATACAGTTTCCTCAAACAGCCAACAATGACAAAAATATTCGTAAAATTAGAGAATTCAAAGTAGCTTCACTGAATGTTCAAATTTAACCAAGGGTACATATATACTATCACCATGGTGATCGAAATCTCATTAGAAAAAGCATTCAAATATTCAACTGAGATGGCAATCCTCGGGGCAGACATCCAGGCATTTTTACCGCCTGGCAACCATCACGGTGAAAACAAAGGTCCAAAAATTTCAGAAAACAGTACTTTGGGATGGTTGTTGAGACTCCCCTGAACAGTGTAACAAGATCACCTACATGTGTGCATGTCCAACATATATAAATTTGATTGTACAGGACTACTTTAAAGTTGATTTTGTGATGTTTTCTTGAACTTAGCTATTTTCATCGGCTTTTTGACTGGCATTCCACACCAGCTCACGCAGAGCCAATAAAAATACATGGTTCAGTGGTGTGCGTCTTAGCAACATACTGTAGCAACATTGTGATACAAAAACTATATTCAAAGTGTCCATCTAAGCAACAGCACAATGCCATAGAGGTATCATTGTTGCCATGGAAACAAACATGATTAGGAAAATACTTGAATTTCCACCCGAATCATACCTCTTGGAAATGTAACCACTGTGACTCTGTCATTGCCGTCAAGTCGTAAACTTTCAATCAAGTTCGTTTTCGGGTCAGCCCAGTATAGCCTTTCGTTAAAGAGATCAATTGCTAACCCAGTTGGCCAGATTAGTCGATCACTGACGAGAACAATACGATGGGATCCGTCTAGGTAGGATGACTCAATCTTTGGATTCATTCCCCAATCAGTCCAGTACATCAATCTGAAATAAATTAAAACATTTCATAGTCACAAATTTAAGACTAAAATAGTTGCATGCTGCAAACAAAATATAAAAAATATATCAATGTTAGGCCTAGTAAAAAAATTATGTTTTTTGGTTAGCGGCACTGATATGTATATAATACTTCAAATTATTTTTCATTCTATTGACTGACTGGAGGACATTTCTGTCTAATGACACAACAAAATTTAAACATGTCAAACATTTATCATTTCATTTATACTTGAAATTTATAAGTTACTGATGTTCCACGTTTTGACTAAAAAAGCTGACTGGCAGTCGAAAAGTCATTTCTTTTAATCTGAGTAGCCCAACAAAATTACGAGTGACATACCAAAAATTCAATACTGCACAGAATAACAGATAAATTTATACTTACCCACGATCTGGGGCAACTACAATGGCATGTGGCATGTCTAGTCCTGTATTGATAAGCGTCTTCTGGTTTTGACCATTGATTTTAGCGACAGAGATAGTATCATATTGAGAATCGGTCCAATAAATATGATCTGTGATCCAATCAATCGCTATGCCATGTGGTGCTCCAAGATTCTCAATCTGAGAAAACATGACAAATTATAATCATGAATTGTTAATTTTTTCAAATATATTTTTGTGCCAGGCAACAGTTCCCAACATGGAATGTTTGACCGATCAAATACAAACACCTGTAACCGATATTCTACCAGAGAAAGTCAAAATCATGTAATGTTAAACATGTACATGTCATTAGTGAATGAATCCTGACCATTGGACCCTGTGGTCAACCCCTTTAGTGGGATCCACCAATCATGAGTCTGATGCAACAACCACTATGCTATCAGTGACTTGGGGCCAACAGAACTCCACAAAAAGTCACACTAACATGCAGGTTCTGGGGCCTAACAGAACTCCACAAAAAGTCGACATGCAGCTTCTGGGGCCAACAGAACTCCACAAAAAGTCACACTAACATGCAGGTTCTGGGGCC